TCCCAATCCAATCATTGTCGCTTGTGAGGTCCGTTCCCAATCCCATTCCCCTTCCCCTGGCCATCGTCGCCTCTTCTTCCCCTCTTGCCCCCCGTGCCCTTCTTATCATTACTCGCGGCGGCGCCCCCGTCATGTTTGAACAAGCACTAATGTCTTTGCAGTTGCCCGCCGCCAAGGGCCCGCGCTAGACATGCTTCCCCAGTCCAACTGTCTCTCGCATGTAAGCTCCTTTGCTCAGCCTATGGCTGCGCGAGCGCAGCGGGCCAGCTCAGTCCTCGCATCTCTTCGACCAGCAGACCCCAACTGAACCCCGTGTTCCATATTTCGCTTGCAATTTGTTAATTTGCCTGTTCGTCCGAGTCCCCAGCATCATCATCGCCGCCGAGGCCCAGCTTCTTGAACGTTTCATCCGTGGCGGGGCACCATCTAAGCTGGCTGACGTAGCGGGCTCGGATAGGTGGCCACATCAAGTGAATCGGTTCTCCTACACCGCCACACAGCATCTCCTACTTGTAGCGGCAAGCGGCGTTACATTCCCCGATATCGCGCGATTAATGAAGCCCCTGCGCGGATAGACTCCGCAGGGGCCAGCCCCTGTCGCTGCGCGTGCAACGCCGCCCTCGCCGCCCCTCGGCCCCTTGTCAGTTTTGGCCGGCAGCTGCTTCACTGCGTCATGTGGCCCTTCTGCCATGAGCATGATGTTCTTCTCCGCTGACAGGCCGGCCGCCATGGCGAAGTCGAGCTGCGCTATCTGAGCTGCGCCCTTCGTTGCGCCAGCGGGGTCCTGGGGGCCCATTGGGGCTTCTCGGGGTGCCTTTTGGGGGCTCCATTGGAGCCTACTGGAAGCCTCTTATGACCTCCTGGGCGCCTCCCGGGGCTGATGGCTGGACTTCTCGGCCCCTGGTCCCCTTCCTGGGCCTCTCTTGGGGCTGTTCCTGCGCCCTTTTGGGCCGTCTTGGGCGCCTCTCAGGCTGTCTCGGGACCATCTTGGGCCGTCTTGGGGCCCTCGTGGGCCGTCTTGGGGCGGTCTTGGATGCCTTTTGAGCCGTCTTGGAGCGCCGGTGAGCCGACTGGGCGAGAGTGCCAAGCACCTTCAAACAATGACGGGAAAATCACGGATTTCTGCCTCTGTGGGCCCACCTATAGGATGTCTCTTTGAAGCCTCTCGGGGCGTCTTGAAGGCGCTTCGGGCTATCTGGGGGCCATCTCTGGCGTCTGGGGTCACTGTTGGGCCGTCTCGGACCACGTTGAGCTCTCTTGGAGGCCGCTTCAAGCGCTCCTGCAACACTCTTGGGAGCCTCCTGGGGCCTGGCCCGGCCTGGCCGCGGCCTGCCCGGGACCCGGCCGGGGCCTGCCCCGGGGCCTGCCGGGGCCGGCCCGGGACCTTGCCGGGGCACTTTTCGCCCGGGGACCCCCGGGGGCGGCGGCTCCGCGCGCGCGAACTTTAAATCTACTGTTCAACATTCACAAAAGATTTTAACACGCCCTCGCCCCGTTGGGCCCGCGAATTTTCGCGCGCCCAGTGGGGCCCGACCGGGGCGCTGTCGGATTCGGAGACCGCGGCCGCCGCTGCCCGACATAGCGATCTCTCCCACTCCGGCAGACTACAGGCATTCGGAAATCCTGGTAGTGTCATCTTCAGTCCATTCCCCGTACTATGCGGATTCGACCCATCCCCCGTGGGCGCCGCTGGAGCTGCTGGCCCACGTCTAGGCGGGTCGCCCCCGCCAGGTGGCCCGCCCCCGCCAGGTGGGCCAGATCCTTCGGCCAGACAGACGCATTCCGCTCGGCGCCTTAGCCGGGCCTCGAACTCTGATCTATCTCGGTCTTCCAGCTAGGTGGCGCTGCGTTCTTTCTGCCCGGCCCCCTCGCCTGACCATGCGCAGCGCCGGCGGCGGCTTCTCCGCCGGCCGAGGCAGCGTGAGCGCCTGCTTGCCGTGGAAGGAATGCCGTTGCTGATTTCTCGCCCTGGGCCAGCGTCGGCCTCGGCGCAGCAATCGCGTTGTTCTCAGCCTTTGCCAATCCGTCTCTGTCCAGGCGCATGGTGGAAAACTCGTCTTGCTGAACCCTGAACACGTGTTCCGCTCCGGAAATCATTCGTCACGTTTCCCTGGCCTCGGTCTTCCCTGCAGCGCGGCCCATGGCGTTCGCCGCGTCGGCGATGCGGGTAGCCCGGTTCGGGTTCCCTCGTTGGGTGGGCCAGCGTTTCTCTTTCGTCTCCTCTTCGGCGACGCGCGGCGCGCTCGCGCTCTCGCAAGCTTCAGTCTCTTGTTCTGCTTCAGTGTTGGCCCTCTCTGCTGCAGCTCTCAGTCCGTCTCTCGCCTTGGCGTCGTCAGCCGTCGCATTATGGTTCGGTTGCGTGGGGCGAGGCAGTCCTTCCAGCTGTTCCCGCGTCCGAGCGGACGCTCGCTCATCCTCGTGTTGCAGAGTTGCCTCCCGCATGGGCTGCCTCAGTGCCAGACAGTCATGGCCTGATTCCTCCAGGCGCTCTCCGCACTGGGAGTCGATGTTACAGTGCTTGCAAGTCCCCCAGCATACATTGCAAATTATCCCAGTGCGACCCTACCTAGGAGTTGGAGCCCCTAGCTGAGTTAAAGCTAAGCTAAAGCTAAGCTAAAGCTAAGCTAAAGCTAAGCTAAAGCTAAGCTGCAGCTAAGCTACAGCTAAGCTAAAGCTAAGCTAAAGCTAAGCTAAACGCTAAGCGAAAAGCTAAGCGAAACGCTAAGCGAAACGTAAGCTCCCAGGGGACTGGGGGAGCCGCCCGGGGCGTGTTGCACTGCCCGGCCTCTTTAAGCTAAGAGAGTAAGAACCCTTCTAGGCAGAGCCTGGGTAGGGAACAAATGTTTTGCTTTCTCCCGTCTGCTGGAAAAAATGGTTTTCGGCGAAGTCGGCGCGCAAGTCTGTCGCGTCCCATCATCTCTATCCGAGGCGCATCCGATTCGATAGTGACGGGGCGGACCGCTCCGTCGACTCCATCCTTTTGAGCCCGTTTCGTACAGAAGTATACCTGCTGATTCTCGACCTCACTTCCTTCTCAGAGGTCAGGGCTACCGAGCGAGAGCGTTCCATGTCCTCCTTTCTTGATCGCAAAGAGGCTTGATCGCAAAGAGGATGGAAGCAAGTAGAGCCTCGAATGGCGAGAATCACCTGTTTCCGCTGGCGACCCCCGCAAAACTGCGTTACCACTGTGACTCGCACGCGCTGACGTGATTCCGCCTGCGGGCTCCTCTTCGTTTTCCATGGGGACGTCCTCAGGCAAAGGCATTTGGGACTGGCCGATGTTTTTTCGCCCCTGTGGGCTTGTCGACCTCCAAATTATCTTCTCTCATTTTTCTCGACCGGTGAGCGCTTGACCTCGAGTTCCCTCTTCTCTGCCCGACGAAGGGGCAACCCCCCCAGCGCTTGGGGACAAGGTCAAGCAAACCGCTTTCGGCAGTGTTAGGAACCCTTCCTTGTCAGCGCTGCTGTTTCCAGCAATGATCCGTCGTGTTCCTTGTTGTGCTATCCCGGCGTCGTTCGGATAATAATGGAAATGTCCGATCCAGCTTCCGATGGTAGAAAAGGACTCATAATCTTAATTCGAAGACCCACCTGAATCGTGGGGGTAAACATGTTGCTCTTCTCGAGGCCCACATCCACACATACGGTTTTTGTTATCCGATATTCAATCGATTCGCGTGGTGTCTCAAAACCCTGCGAATCGGAACCGCTTTTTGTTACCTCGGCCTGTCACATTATAGTTCCTGTGGAGTTCGCCTGGACACACGGAGACAATACAATGATCCATCCAACTTTCGGTTAACGGTTATCCGTCAGGTATACTAACCGGTGATTTGTCCACTAATGGACGTTCACCGACGATCGGCGTTTTCCGTGCTCTTATATCCAACCTCTAGGGTATCCTCACGTGGATATTGTGGACGATGGTTCCTTAACGATATCGTGCGACATAGCGGTGATCTGCTGGTAAGCAATAGTACGGGTGTATGACAGATACGCGCGCGCTACACATGGTGTTTGTTGCTGCCCGTGCGCGGACGTGCCCGATCTTCAGAGTCACTTGAGCCAAATTCGCGATCTTGCGTACGTGTTTGTGAATTACCTGCGCAACGGGAGCAATTGTAACGACTCCTCTGGCGTCGTTCGAACTTGCGCCAAACATCTGGCGGCTCGAAAACTGGATGCGGTTATTTTTCTCGCCCTTCTGACTCTCTGGGGGGTCGCCCAAACATGGGCCGGAACTAAGCGGACCCCGGGAAAAGGACTGCGACGCCTATGCCGCGAAGAAGCCGGGATGCCAGGCGCCCAGGCAGGATGAGGAGGATATGAAGAAGAATAGAGAGAGAGAGAGAGAGAGAGAGAGAGTGAGAGAGAGAGAGAGAGACGGAGGAGGAGCAGAAGGCGGAGAGGAGGAGAGGCCGATCCAGATGGGCGAAGCGCGGTCAGCTTCACGCCCCTGCGGGGAAACTAGAAAATAGTTGGGCGAGGAGGGCCAACTTATTGGCATTAACAAGGAAAGATCCTGGTCCCCGGGGCCGCTCACCAAGAACAATTTCCCATTCTCAATGCTTTGTATAATGCACCCGGGGACTTGGTACGGCACTCGGGACCCGATTCCCTCACTTGGATCGGGGTGTGCCTAGGAGGCGCTCGAGGAGCTCCGGAGCATGCAGGTCGCTGCGGGCGGGTCAGGCAGCGCTCAAGAGGAGCTTCTGAGCACGTAGTGGGTTACCAGTGGGTGCCAAGGTGGGCTTTATCTGGCTAAACCTAGCTGGTAAGTGGGTTTGAAGCATCTAAGATGGCTTTGGGGATTAGATACCTCCGCCAAGTGGGAGTGGCCCACTTAGCCCGGAGCGCTACCCCCCGAGTCGCTCGCGGCACTTGCGGCCCACGCGTAAGCTAGGTTAGCCCAGATATAACCCACTTTGGCATCCACTGGTGCCCCCCTGATCCCCTCAGCACCCCCCCCTGATCCCCTCAGCGAACCCCTGGGGCGGGACCTGCGGGCCGCCGCCGTACTGGCCAGGCGTCGGCGGGCCGCTCGGGTTCGCCGTGCCACACTTGCGGCAATTGGCGTTCCTGGCGAACTGCATGTCCCCGCAAGCCGGGCACGCCCAGTCGCCGGGCTTCATCTCCCCGCCGGCGCCACCGCCGCCTCCGTCCTCGTTGCGGTACACCTTCAGCAGCATCCCGCTCGGGAGCTGCAGGTTGTTGAGCGCCGCGCACGCGTTCACCGCGGCCTCCAGGGTGACGAAGTTCACGAAGGCGGTGCCCTTGCTTCTCCCGTCGTCCCAGTGCAGCGCTCTGACGCCCTCGCAGTGGATGGGCCCGAACGGGCAAAACATGTCGTAGAGGTCCTTGTCGCTGCAATCGTCCGGCAGATTCTTGACGACAACGGTTTTGTCGTTGTTCGTCCACCTGCCCCCGGGGAGCATATCAGCGGCCATCAGCATCTTCTTAATGGTCTGTATTCCTGCTCCCATGGCCGCGCAGCCCTTGCCGCCCACCATGCCGCCCATGCAACCACCGCCGCCCATGGCCATGCCGCCCGCGGGCTGCGGCATCATTCCGCCGAAGACGCCGCCGAACACGCCGCCAGTCGCCTGGGGGACCGGGGCGCCCTTGCCGTTGTAGGGCCCACCGGCGGCGCCGGCCGAAGCCTGCGCGTAGGTGACCTTGACCGGGACGTCCAAGCCCTCTGGGATGTTGCCGTCAAGATTGGTCACCACCCACTCGGCCTCCGACGCGTTCTGGAAGGCGACGTAGGCTACGCCGTTGCCCACTATCTTGCACGTCTTCAGGGCACCGTACTCCTCGATTACCTTCTGGAAGGCCTGGGGGTCGAGGCCCTCTGGCAGGCCCCTGATGTACAGGGACGTCTTCTCGCCCCCCTGGGCAGCGGCAGGGCCGAAGCCGCCGCCTCCGCCCCCGCACCCGCCGGCGCCCGCCGCGCCGGCGCCCGCCGGGTTGCCCGCGCCGCACTTGCGGCAGTTCGTGTTCCTGGCGAACTGCAGGTCCCCACAGGCCGGGCAGTTCCAGTCGCCCGGCTTGGTCTGATGACCTGGGAGGGCGCGCCGGCTCTACAAGATGCCTCCTATAGATGGGGTCCGAGTAGATGGGGTCGGAGCATCGCCGATGTATCAGCGAAGCATCGGCGACGTCGGCGGTGCATCGGCGACGCCAGCGCGGAGAAACCCGGGCTCCACATCGAGCCGCAGCGGCGATGCATCGCCGATGCAGCGCGATCCCGCGACCCCCGACGTCATGATTTGTTCATTACGCGACCCCCAAAAGTCCGGACCCATTCTCCGGGACCGGCTTTTCATCCTGAGTCGTTTTTTGACGGTCCTGAGGGCCAGTGAGGGTCCCCAGAGGCCGAGAATAGCGAAAAACCTCGCGTCGTGATTTTGTCATGACTCGAGGGGTTCTGGGTCCTCCGACCCCGTCCACTCGGACCCCATCTGGGAGGCCCGTGGATCTCCGCCCACGGCGGCGCTCAGGCCGACAAAGGGCCCGGGATCGGCGCACGCATCCCTGCCTGGCAACGGCGGGAGGGCAGGTGCACACACCGACTCCCGGGGCCCAGGAAGGGCCCGGCCAGGAGAGGTGTGGGTGCACACCCAGACATCCGACGACATGCTTTTTCCCAGCGCGCGGCCCCAAGGCCCCAGGGCCAATCTTTCGTCCCGGTCCTAGTTTTGATGGTCCCGGGGCCAGATCAAAAAAGGGCCCTGGAGGCAAACGTCGGGGATACAAGCGCATGTGGAACAAGAAAGATCGTCGGAGCTTGGGGTGATTGGTGCCTCCCCGTCGAAGAATAACAAGACGCATACACAACCTATATATATATATATATATATATATATATATATACGGCAGGTTCGTGTCGTGCCGACCCCAGCGTTGGTTTCTGACACCGCGGGGATCGTTCAACCTTGAACGATCGGCCATTTCCGCAACGTCGAATCGTTCAACATCGACCGATTCTGGGCCGCCGGCGGCGTTCAACCTTGAACGCCCGCGCTGGGGTCGCCGCTGGTCGACACGACGCAAACCTACTATATATATATATATATATATATAAAAAGTCCGCGCAGATCTCTTGGATCCGCGTTGGGCACCCGTGGCGTCGCGCCGGGGAGGGGGGCCCCGCGCGGATCCCAGCAATACGCGCGGAACTCCGAACATCTACGTCTATGCTTAGGTCGGGCCTGTCCCCCTACAAAGGGATTTTCGACGACAAACAAAAATACCCCACAAATGCCCCATTATCCCGGCAACGCAACCTAACAGCGATGTGTATAAGCATATCTGGAAGCATTCCCCTTAAGATTCAGGTGAGAATCCAGTTGTAGAATTCTGCTGTTCTCGCAGTCGCAGTCGAAATCGCAATGACAGTCACAGTGGCAACGGCCTTAGGATCCAATGGAATCCTAAGGATTCCTAGGGATTCCTTCGGCATCCTTAGGCACCCTTAGGAATCCATAGGAATCCTTAGGAACCATCAGGGACCCTTAGGAATCCTGATTCCTAAGAATTCCTAGGGGGTCCTAAAGATTCCTTGGGAATCCTAAGGATTCCTGAGGATGCTTAACTATGCCTACGGATTCCTAAGGATTCCTAGGATTCCTAACGATCCCTAGGGATTCCTAAGGATTCCTATGGATTCCTACGGATGCCTCAGCCTGCCTCAGTTTCAGCCTCAGCCTCAGCCTGCCTCGGCCTCAGCCTGCCTCAGCATCAGCCTCAGCCTCAGCCTCAGCCTCAGCCTGCCTCAGCCTCAGCCTGCCTCAGCCTCAGCCTCAGCCTCAGCCTCAGCCTGCCTCGGTTTGCCTCAGCCTCAGCCTCAGCCTGCCTCGGCCTCAGCCTGCCTCGGCCTCAGCCTGCCCAAGTCTCCCCTCCTCCCCCCCCCTCCCCCCCCATTCAGCCTCACCTTGTCTCAGCTTCGGCCTGCCTCGGCCTCATCCTCAGCCTCAGCCTCAGTCTCAGCCTGTCCCGGCCTGAGCCTGCCTCAGCCTCAGCCTCAGCCTCAGTTTGCCTCGGTTTGCCTCAGCCTCAGCCTCAGCCTGCCTCGGCCTCAGCCTGCCTCGGCCTCAGCCTGCCTCAGTCTCCCCTCCTCCCCCCCCCTCCCCCCCCATTCAGCCTCACCTTGTCTCAGCTTCGGCCTGCCTCGGCCTCATCCTCAGCCTCAGCCTCAGTCTCAGCCTCAGCCTGTCTCGGCCTGAGCCTGCCTCGGCCTCAGCCTCAGCCTGCCTCAGCCTCAGCCTGCCTCAGCCTCAGCCTGCCTCAGCCTCAGCCTGCTCAGCCTCAGCCTCAGCCTGCCTCAGCCTGCCTCAGGCCTCAGCCTGCCTCAGCCTCAGCCTCAGCCTGCCTCGGCCTCAGCCTCAGCCTCAGCCTGCCTCAGCCTCAGCGTCAGCCTCTCAGCCTCAGCCTGCATCAGCCTCAGTCTCAGCCTGCATCAGCCTCAGCCTGAGCCTCAGTCTCCCCTCCTCCCCCCCCCTCCCCCCCCCATTCAGCCTCAGCCTGCCTCAGCCTCAGCCTCAGCCTGCGTCAGCCTCAGCCTCAGCCTGCGTCGGCCTCAGCCTGCCTCAGCCTCAGCCTCAGCCTGCCTCAGCATCAGCTTCAGCCTCAGCCTCAGCCTGCCTCAGCCTCAGCCTGCCTCAGCCTCAGCCTCAGCCTGCCTCGGCGCGCCTCAGCCTCAGCCTCAGCCTGCCTCGGCCTCAGCCTGCCTCGGCCTCAGTTTGCTTCAGCTCGGGCATTCAAAATATGGCACAGGACTAGTGCTCTGGGAACACGAAGATCACGAAGTGGCCCACAGTTGGCTCCGGGCAAACAAAATATGGTACAATAGTGGTCTTCTGGGAAGACGAAGAACACGAAGTGGCCTACAGTTGGCTCCGGGCATTCAAAATGAGGCCTGGGAGTGGTGTTCTGGGAAGACGAAGAACACGAAGTGGCCTACAGTTGGCTCCGGGCCTTCAAAATGTGGCCTGGGAGTGGTGTTCTGGGAAGACGAAGAACACGAAGTGGCCTACAGTTGGCTCCGGGCATTCAAAATGTGGCCTGGGAATTATGTTCTGGGAACAGAATCTGTTGGAATCCATTGGGAACTATAAGAATCTATATGAATCCTGGGGAGTCCCCGGATTCCCGCGGCACCCGTCCGGCATCTGCCCAGACCCCCCTGGGGAGTCATGATGCTCTCTTTTGAAACCACTAGAAACCTATCAGTCTTCGCTGTTAGGTAAAAATGGTCAGAAAATTCTGAAAAAATAGTCCCCAGACTATGTTTGGACTATTTTGGGGGTATTCTGTATTTTTCGTCGAAAATCCCCCTGTGGGAGGACAGGCCCGACTTAAGTTTATGCACCTCTTGCTTTTCCTGCCCCTGTGACCCGGGAAGCCTCCCGCGAAGGCCCCAGCCTGGCCCGGGTTTGGGTGCGGCGTCCCGCACCGCCTTCGTTCGGCGACCCCGAAGGACATATGCTTAGCTAGGGCTCCCAACTTCGCGCTTCGCGCTGCGCGAAGCGCGAATAACTTCGCGCTCTCGCGACGCCCCCCAGGGGAGAAGAGGAGGACGAGGAGGAATCGGAGCCGAACCGCGAAGCGCGAAGCGCGAATAACTTCGCGCCCTCGAGGGCGCCCTTGCTTAGCACCGGGTGCGGTTCGCAGCCCGCGCCCCTGGGAGGCGGGCGAGAGCCCCGACGTGAGCTCTCCGCCGCGCCCCGCGGCGGCCCGGCGAGGGCAACAATGGTGCCCCCCGAGCCGCAAAGGGCGCAGATCGCGCACCACACCCTGGCGTAACCACACACACAGATCGGGGAGACGTAAGACCCGGGTACGGGGGACTCGGAAATCCCCGACGAGGTCGTCAAAAAAATGACGAGGCCGAGCCTGCATTTTGACGAGGCCTCCCGCTGCAGACATCCCACGAAACTCCTCCTCGTCAAAATCCGAGGCGCGGTCGTCAAAAAACGATGGCGAACCCGAGTCCTGGCAAACCCGGGTCTTACGCTCCCCCGAACACAGAGTGTTCGGCGGCGCGCCCCCGGGGGAAGTGACAAGGGGCGGGCCCTCTCGCAAGGCTCGGAAGTCCTCGGGCCGTCTCAGGGAGTCCTCTAAGCCTTCCGCTGGGACCCAGAGAACTCCTCGAGGGCTTCTGAGAAGCCCCGCCGCCCGCGGAGAAGGCCTTCCCGCGGGGTGAACCAACAAGAACACGAAGGAAGGTTTCTCGCTGGGGGCCATGGCTGGGCCCTGGTCCAGCAGCAGTCTGGGACGAAAAACCGGCCCCCAGGGAAGGGGCCCAGAGCTCTGGGAGCCACGCTGCGCGAAATCGTGACGTCGGTGGTCTGGAGAGCGGGGGGGGGGAGGGCTGAGGACTGCACAGCAGCTGCAGTGAGGCACTTGAGCAGGCACTGCGTACGGTCCGTCGGGGCCAGCCCACACCGCATTCCGGACCACACCCCTTGTCGTCGCCGACGCCTGCACGCGGTGTTCTTCGCAAACTGCAGGTCGCCGCACGCCGGGCAGTTCCAGTCGCCCGGCTTCTGCTGGAACCCCATCGCAGCGATAGTGGCAACACAATCTTGCCACTCGAGCCCAAATGGCTTCGAAGCAGGACGTGGAGGAGGGCCAGGATGCGAGGATTGGAGAGGACGAGGGTGAGGAGGAGCAGGAGGAGGGTCATGAGGAGGATGAGCAGGGGAAGGAACAGGACGGTGATGACGATGATGATGACGATGATGATGATGATGCTGATGATGATGATTCAGATGATTCAGATGATGATGATGATGATGATGATGATGATGATGATGATGATGATGGTGATGATGGTGATGACGATGGTGATGATGCTGCTGCTGATGATGATAATGATGGTGACGATGATGACGACGACGACGACGATGATGATGATGATGATGAAGAAGAGAAGGAGGAGGAGAAGGAGGAAGAGGAGAGAAGGAGGAAGACGAGGAAGAGGAGGAGGAGTACGAACAACAGGATGAAGCGGGGTAAAGCAGGAGGCAGAGGGAGAAGAGGACACTGAGGAACACGTGGAGGGGGGGAGGAGAACAGGAGGAGAGACGATTGATAGCAGCAAAAGGAGGGGGAACGAGGGGGAAGGAGGAATAAGGATGAGGAATAAATGACATTGGAGAGATATGACTGGAGTAAAAGAGGATGGGGATGGGGGTGTTAAACCGTACTGAGCCCCCTAGGTCTGAACCGTTTCAAAGATTCGTCACCTCTGAATCCCAAGCCCCCTTGAGTTTCAACGTTGTGCACCTCCAACTCGTTTGAATCCATGTTAACCTGCGTGGCTGCCGAGCAGTGTTATTGCACTGTGGAAGTGACAACTATGCGGTGCAAGCTATGCGGTGCGAGCTATGTCGTGTAAGCTATGTGGTATGCGCTATGGAAGTGAACGCTGTGCGGTGTAAGCTTCGTTGTGTAAGATGTCTCGTGTAAGCTGAGACATACTGTAAGCATTCTTGGAAAACGCATCTGGCTTCTCAGAAGGCGCGAGGGCTTCTCGGGTGCCCCGCCGCCTTCTGAGAACCCCCCCTCTCACTTCCCCCCAGGCTCGCCGCCGAGTCGGGGCCGTCAGGAAAATTACGAGACCCAGCCTAAGCTTTGACGCGCACTCCCGCTGCAGACATCCCACGGTACTAGGCCGCCAAAATTCATCTCGGGCCAATCAGAAATCGTCTGCAAACCCGAGTTCTGGCGAACTCGAGTCTTGCGTTCCCTTTGATCGGGGTTTCGACAAATGGCGAAGAGGTACGATGGATGAAGGCCGAAGGTCAATGGAACGGGGAGGAGGGGCAGAGAGGGTGACAAGCAGGGAGGAGGAGTAAGAAAAGAAGATGCTGACCCAGTTGTCAAAAGGGACGGCGTGAAGACTGAGATGGAGGAAGGGGAGGAGGGGACAACGATCAAAGACGATGAGGGAAGATGTGGAGATACAACCGAACATAGGATCAAGCCTGGGCCGGTTTCTGCTGTTGACGCTGGAGGGGCGAACGTGCTCAAGAAACTGGGCCAGCTTTCTGGCAAGTTGGCCAGCAAACGCCGGCCCAGCTTTTCGGGAGAAGGTCAACGAAGCAGATACCCGACTGCAGGAGGAGGGGAGGAGGAGGAAGAAGAAAAAAGGGGAGGAGGAGGAGGAGGAGGGGAGGGGAGGAGGGGAGGATGAGGGGAGGATGAAGGGAGGAGGAGGGGAGGAGGAGGAGGGGGAGGAGGAGGAGGAGGAGGAGGAGGAGGAGGAGGAGGAGGAGGAGGAAGGAGAAGAAAAGACCAGCACGTATCCAGAGAGTGACTGCCGACGAGGCCTCTGCCCAGCTCGGCGTGATGGGGCCACGCGCGGGGGGGCTCTCTCTCCCTCCCTCTCGCGAGGGCTCCCCGCTGCCGCCCGACCTGCCTACCCACCCTGCCCCGACCCTGCTCCTCCTGGGCCAAACCTGCCAGGAGCTGGTGCAGCAGGATAGCAGGGGAACGGACTCCATGCACCGACGCTCTTTCCGACGCTCCTTCTGGCACTGCCTAACCCACCCTACCCCGACCCTGCTGATCCTGGGCCAAACTTGCCAGGAGCTGGTTCAGCAGGATCGCAGGGGAAACGAACTCTATATATGCACCGGCGCTCTTTCTGGCACGGCACCCAAGATTTGCACAGGAGAGCGGATCCCAATGTATACGGGATCCCGATGGTATGCATTCTTCGGTGCCTCCACCCGGGAAGCGGAACAACTGTGCAAACTACACCACCGCCGATGCAGCTCCCGACCCCCAAGAAGTCCGGGGATTGAAAGACAGCCCGCCACTGGTAATGTGTGCATGTCCTTGTTTCCGAAACAGGGGGAACGCATTGACCTCAGGCCCCCTAAGGGAGGCAGAAGCAATGGTGAACGGTTTCTTATTTCGGGGATGGACAGACCCCCCTTTAGTAAAACGTGGTTTAGTGAGAACGACCTGAGGCCCAAACCTGGGAGAGAGCGTGATCCACCGCCGCTTTACTGTGGAAAATTGCCGCCCTTTTCCTCCGGAACCCGGGGGTCCCCCCCCCCCCCTCCCAAAAGAAAATCCCCCCCCCTGCTGGAACCCCTCCCCCCCCCCCTTCCCTCGGCAAAACCCCCCCTCCCCTAACCCCCCCCCCCTCGAACTCGAAAACCGGGGGGGGGTCACTACCGGTTCGAACCCCCCCCCCTCGAAAACTGGAGGGGGGGGGTCACTACCGGTTCGAACCACTGAGCTGTCCCACTGTTCCCACCGCTGTCCCCACTGTTCCTACCACTGTCCCCACTGTACCTCTGTCCCATTGTCCCACCGCCGTCCTCGCCACCGCCTTCACCACTGTCCCCACCACCACTGTACCCTCCACTGTCCTACTGTTTCCACCACATTCCCACTGTCCCCACACCACTGTCCCCACCACCACCGTCCCCACCACTGTCCCACTGTCCCCACTGTTCCCACCATTGTCCTCACCATTGTCCCCACCACTACCGTCCCCACCACTGTCCCACTGTCCCCACCACTGTCCCGCTGTCCCCTCACCACTGTCCCCACCACCACCGTCCCCACCACTGTCCGCACCCCCCCTCGGTTTTCGAGGGGGGGGGGGGGGGTTCGAACCGGTAGTGACCCCCCCCGGTTTTCGAGCTCGAGGGGGGGGGGGGTTCGAACCGGTAGTGACCCCCCCCCTTTTCATGATGAACTGGGAGGGGGGGGGGGGAGGGGTTCGAACCGGTAGTGACACCCCCCGGTTTTCCGGAGGGGGGGGGGAGGGGTTCGAACCGGTAGTGACCCCCCCCGGTTTTCCGCCAGCAGCGGTAGAACACGCTCTTTCAAACCTGGCGGGCGCAAGCCTGGAAAATACCTGACACGGCGCCCTCTCGAGAACCGAAAACGGACAATTCACTAATCGACGTGTCACTAATCGAGGGTTCTGTCCACCCCCCCGATAATTCGGCGTTTAGACTAGGAGGAGTCGGCTTGCGGGGGGGGTCGGGCGCGCGGGAGGCGGGCGGAGGCGTCGCCGGCGCCCCGCGCCCCCGGGGGGCTCCATGTTGGATTTCCCAGGCTGCGCCAAGCGCGCACGCGTTACTTGCCCGCGCGCTCACATTCGCGCAAGCGCATCCTAAGAAACTATGATTTGGATCGGAACCGGGCGACAACGGGCATGGGGCGCCTGTCAAGGCTGCTTCTGGGAGCGGTTGCTGCTGGCTCGACACGCGCGATATGCATGTAACGACTTTTGGAAAACGGGCGCTGCGCCGTCCAATCCAACGCGGCAATGGCGCGGCCCGGGGCGCGCGGCCGTCGCGGCACACGGCGGTCGACGTGACCGCATGGGGCGCGCGATCGGCTGCGCGGCATTGGCGGGCCATTCGGCCGACGCTGCCGGGTCGCCCTCAAACAGCCCGCCAGGAATACGCAAATACGCAATGCGCCAGCGCGCCGCCAGGATATCGCCTTGAAAACAACCTGTTCACTCTGAACGCCGACTGCGCGCCTCGCTGAACCAGCGAAGTCGCGCGGCGCGCCCGCGCCGCGGACCCGCCGCAATTGACTCGCGGGAAAAAGGCCTCTCTCCATGGGTTCTGGCACCGATTCTGGCCTACTTCCCCGTTCTGGCCGATTCTGGTTTCATCGCCGATTCCTCCTTTGATTCCGTATTGATTCCGTACTGATTCTTTTGATTCCGCTAGAATCAGGGGTCGCAGTTGTGCCGATTCTGTTTTGATTCTGTACTGATTCCGTGCTGATTCCTTTGATTCCCCTGTGCCCCGGGGACCACCAGGCCGCGGCCCGAGCTCCCGCCTCGGCGGCATGGTTTTTCCAGGAGCGCGGAAGAGTTTTGAAGGGGGGGTGGGGCGGGGGGGAGGCGGGGCGATTTTTGGGGCGCATCGGGCGGCCGAGCCACAGATTTCCAGACCCAGTGCGCACGCCCAACATGGCAGGCGCGGGCGCGCGCGCGAGTTCTCGACCGTCGGCGCATCTGTAAGTTCATACCCCGCCCCGCGCGCGGGAATGGAAACTTGCGCTGCGGTTTCCAATTGAACGCGCGGCCGTCGCAACTGCATCGCATTGCTCAGCGCGCAAAGCGCTCGAGCAGCATGGGGGGCTTTGCGTTCTCGCATGAGAAGTGCGCGGAACTGAACCGATCGGTCGGCGGCGCCCGCTCCTGCGCCCAGCGCGAGGCCATCGCGTCAGCGCGGGGGGCTACAGGGGCCTGGGCCGTCGCCCTGGGGCGCGGGCACAGCGCGAGGCCCGCGCGGGTCTCTCGCGCCAAACATGCGCAACAAGGTCGGCCCGCCCGCCGGCTGGCCCTCGCGGGCGATGCGACGCCGGCGCCGACTGCGAGGCCGACTGGGCCCGGAGGATTCCTGAGAGTCCCGGGAAGGGGCAGCGGGCCGCGATGGAATCGGCGCGGTCGTTGGCGCCCCCCCCGCGCCCGGCCCCCCCTGCAAGCCGACTCCTCCTAGTTTAGACCTCGGCGAGGGGGGTCTGGCTCTGGACCTCTGCTTCATGCGACTGTTCTGCAGCAGTGCGTCCT